GTACTCTGCCCTGAGTCCCCTGTGGGGTGAGAAGGGTGGAATATAAATACTGTAAATAAATAAATATCCACTCTGAAAGAAAGAACTGTTGTCTGCTTGAGGCAAGTGTGAATGTTGCAATTGGCCAGCCTGATTAGCATTGAATGGCCTTGCAGCTTCAAAGCCTGGCTTCTTCCTGCCTGGAGGGATCTTTCGTTGGAAGGTGTTAGCTGGCCCTGATTGTTTCTTGTCTGGAATTCCCCTGTTTTTGAGTGTTATGATTTTAGAGTTTTTTAAATACTGATAATCTGATTTTGTTCATTTTCATGGTTTCTTTCTTTCTGTTGAAATTGTCCACATGCTTGTGAATTTCAATGGCTTCTCTGTGTAGTCTGACATGGTAGTTGTTAAAGTGGTCATTTCTGTGTTCTCAAATAATATGCTGTATGGCCATGTTCTAGAAGCATTCTCTCCTGACGTTTTGCCTGCATCTATGGCAAGCATCCTCAGAGCTTGTGAGGTCTGTTGGAAACTAGGAAAATTGGGTTTATAACTTTGTAGAAAGTCAAGGGTGGGAGAAAGAACTCTTGTCTGTTGGAGGTAGGTATGAATGTTTCAATTTCTTACCTTGATTAGCATTTGATGGCCTGACAGTTTTTAGGTGTGGTTTGTTACTGCCTGAGGGAATCCTTTGTTGAGAGGTGATTAGCCATCCCTGATTGTTTCTTGTCTGGAGTTCCCATGTGTTTGTGTGTTGATCTTTATTTACTGTTATAATTTTAGAGTTTTTGAATACTGGTAGCCAGATTTCGTTCATTTTCATGGTCTCCTCCTTTCTATTGAAATTGTCCACATCCTTGTGGGTTTCAATGACTTCTCTGTGTAGTCTGGCATGGTGGTTTCAGAGTGGTCCAGCATTTCCGTGTTCTCAAACAATATGCTGTGTCCAGATTGGTTCATCAGGTGTTCCGCTATAGCTGACAAAATCTGGCTACCAGTATTTAAAAACTCTAAAATCAGGACAGTAAATAAAGCTTAAGTGACTGAGGGAGAAAAGGAAAGGGTCTGAGGCTGTTAGGAATTGTGGGAGCTGAAGTCCAAAACACCTGGAGGACCCAAGTTTGGCTAAGCCTGGGATAGCTGCTTGCCTACATTCTCCCTTCTCCAGGTTGGTGAAGGCCTACTTAAGCAGCTGGGGGGGGGGGGGGGGGAGGAAGAGGCCTGAGGCTGTTAGGAATTGTGGGAGTTGAAGTCCAAAACACCTGGAGGGGCAAAGTTTGCCCATGTCTGCTCTAGCATGATGAGGCCATCATCAATGAAATAGCGTGCTAGATTAATGAGCATCTTTATTCTAATTTGGTTAAAATTGGCCACTGCAATTATAAATCTTTGTTTTGTTTTGTTTTTCATGTCAGGAGCGACTTGAGAAACTGCAAGTCGCTTCTGGTGTGAGAGAATTGGCTGTCTGCAAGGACGTTGCCCAGGGGATGCCAGGATGATTTTTGATGTTTTACCATCCTTGTGGGACGCTTCTCTCATGTCCCCGCATGGGGAGCTGGAGCTGACAGAGGGAGCTCATCCGCGCTCTCCTGGATTCGAATCTGCAACCTGTCGGTCTTCGGTCCTGCCTGTACTGGGGGCTCCTCTGCCACTGGGGGCTCCAGTATCATGCTTTGTTGATGTGGCCCAGGTAAAGGGCACCCATTATAGAGATGCATAAGACATAAATCATAGAATCATTGTTGTTGTTCATTCGTTCAGTCGTCTCCGACTCTTCGTGACCTCATGGACCAGCCCACGCCAGAGCTCCCTGTCGGCCGTCACCACCCCCAGCTCCTTCAAGGTCAGTCCAGTCACTTCAAGGATGCCATCCATCCATCCATCCATCCATCATAACAGACTGCAAGTGCCATCTGACCCCTTGAAATTGAAAATCGCTTTTTAAAAAATTTGCAAAGCAATAGAAGTGTGGGAAGGCAAGGTTACAATGGTATGTGGAAGTATAACTGTGGGATCACACATTGTTGAATCAGTACAATTGCATGAAGGAAAAGAAGTGTGGTATTCAAAGGTGCTCATCTCAATATGCATCTGCCATCAATGAGAATGAGATAGAATGGTGGATTTGTATGATAAAGCCCTACAATCAGCCTCTTAGCTCTTTGTATCCATTGTCACATCCTGTCATTGGATAGGCCCACAAAGCCTTAGCCAGACTTCTTTGCACTGGTTTTTCTTTTTTTCTTTATACTAATAGACATACATTTGTGTTTGTTGCGTACAGTACAATACTTTCCAGCTATTAGTGTTCCATAATCATTGCTCACATAATATATTTTCTTTAAGGGGTCACAGTCTTTTTTCAACTCCGCTGGACCGGCCACGTTGTCCGGATGCCCGACCACCGTCTCCCAAAGCAGTTGCTCTATTCCGAAGTCAAAAACGGAAAACGGAATGTTGGTGGGCAGGAAAAGAGATTTAAAGATGGGCTCAAAGCCAGTCTTAAAAACTCTGGCGTAGACACTGAGAACTGGGAGGCCTGGCCCTTGAGCGCTCCAGCTGGAGGCCAGCTGTGACCAGCAGTGCTGTAGAATTTGAAGAGGCACAAATGGAGGGTGGAAGAGAGAAACATGCCAAGAGGAAGGCGCATGAAGCCAACCCCGACTGGGACCGCCTTCCATCTGAAAACTGATGCCCTCATTGCGGGAGAACATGCAGAGCAAGAATAGGGCTCCACAGTCACCTATGTACCCACCGCCAGTACACCAATCTTGGAAGACAATCCTACACAGACAACGAGGAATAGCCTAAGGAAGTAAGTAAGTAAGTAAGTACAGTCTTCTATTTAAATAGTACATATAAAGACATCATAGGCTCTTGCTTAACATCTGCTTTCTCCTTGTCTACAGTCCTCTAAACTTCTTCTTTGGACTTGTTTTGGACTCCATATTATGTCTGTTTAAATGTATCTTTAAAAATGATAGCAGAACGCATTCTCAAGTATTAATTAGGTCTGACAGTGTTATCTCAGTTTCTCAATGTGATTAGTGTTTCTTTCATTTCCCACTGTCCTTCCCAGCTTTCTAAGAAGATTCTTTTAATATGACTTCTTTAGAAAGGCAATGTTTGTCTTCAAAAGTAATGCAAAGGGCGCCATCTCCTGACACAAATAATTATGGCATTTTCAATGTCATTGTGCACCACTTGAGCAACACCTTGATTTTCATAGAGCCTCACTGCCAAAGGCCTTTCCCCCTCGCTTTCCTTGCTTCCAAAACCCTATTTCCCTCCTACCATGGAAGAAGAGGGTTGCTCCTATTATTATTATTATTATTATTATTATTATTATTATTATTATTATTATCTGGCTACCTGTATTTAAAAACTCTAAAATCAGGACAGTAAATAAAGAGCAACCATCAAAAACAGGGAAATTCCAGACAAGAAACAATCAGGGCCAGCTAATCACCCCAACAAAGGATTCCCGCAGCAGGAGGCAGCCAGTCTTTGAAGCTGCAAGGCCATTCAATGCTAATGAAGGTGGCCAATTGCAACATTCACACCTGCCTCAAGTAGACAACAGATCTTTCTCCCACCCTGGACCTTCCACAGATATATAAATCCCATTTGCCTAGCTTCCAACAGACCTCACAACCTCTGAGGATGCCTGCCATAGATGTGGGTGAAACATCAGGCACAACCTGGGGATCACAACCAGATACAGTGAAGACATCTGCCCTTGCGCTATGCTACTCTGCTGCTGAGTATGCATGCCCAGTGTGGAACACATCTCACCACGCTAAAACAGTGGATGTGGCTCTTAATGAGACATGCCGCATTATCACAGGGTGTCTGCGCCCTACACCACTGGAGAAATTACACTGCTTAGCCGGTATTGTAAAACCTGACATCCGCCGGGAAGTAGCAGCCAATAGTGAAAGGACCAAGGCAGAGACATCTCCAGCTCATCCCTTGTTTGGGTATAAGCCAGCATGTCAACGACTTAAATCAAGAAATAGTTTTCTAAGATCTACAGAGACACTCGCTGGAACACCTCAGCAAGCGAGAGTCCAAAAGTGGCAGGCTCAAACCCAGAACCTCAATCAATGGCTGATACCAAATGAGAGACTCCCCCCTGGGCACACAGAAAACTGGGCGACTTGGAAGGCACTGAACAGACTGTGCTCTGGCACCACGAGATGCAGAGCCAACTTCAAGAAATGGGGCTACAAAGTGGAATCCACGACATGCGAGTGTGGAGAAGAGCAAACCACTGACCACCTGCTGCAATGCAACCTGAGCCCTGCTACATGCACAATGGAGGACCTCCTTGCAGCAACACCAGAGGCACTCCAAGTTGCCAGCCACTGGTCAAAGGACATTCAATCAATTACCAAGTTTGCAAACTGTGTTTTGTCTGTTTGTTAAAAATTTGTTTAAAATGTAATACAATTGTCTGGTTGATACTGACACGATAAATAAATAAATCAGGAGAGAATGCTTCTGGAACATGGCCATACAGCCCGGAAAACTCACGGCAACCCAAATCCACCTCTCACTCTGACGGCCCTTCCACACAGCCCTATATCCCAGAATATCAAGGCAGAAAATCCCACAATATCTGCTTTATTTATTATTTATTTATTTAGAGCTTTTATAACCTGGTCTTCTCAACCTCCGAAGAGGGACTCAGGCCGGCTAACAGCAGAAAATTCATACACACATAGAATAAACATAATAGCATCATAACACATTAATACAAAAATACATTAAAATACAGATCATACAGATAACTGGGTTATCTGAGTCCACACTCAGATAATGTGGGATTTTCTACCTTGATATTCTGGGATATAGGACTGTGTGGAAGGGCCCCCAGAAACAGACAAAGTAACTAGAAGCACCCATTAAGAGAGAGGAAATAGAGCAAGCAATTAGGAAATTAAAAAATGGGAAAGCACCTGGACCAGATGGGCTGGCCCAGAATATTACAAAACATTTGAGGCAATGATAACTCCAAAATCATTAGAATTATTTAATGCAACAATGGATGGAGAACAAATACAGGGATCATGAAAGCAATAATTAACGATATTATTACCCAAACCAAAGAAAGCTTTGACAGACCTTGGTTCTTATAGACCAATATCATTAATCAATTAAGATGCCAAAATACTAACAGCGATTATTACCAACAAGATGAGCAACTGCATGTATAAATACATAAAACAAAATCAATGCGGGTTTGCTAAAGGGAGGCAAATGTCTAACCAAATGTAGAAACTACATATACAGGTGGCGGGAAAAGTGATAAATTGGTAATTTAGTTAAAAGCCAGACAGCTAGGAGCATTTCTTAAATTGTATCATTTTCTGAAAAGCTTGTTTGAATTCTTCATTGAAAGCTGTATAGATCACGGGGTTGATGAGGGAGTTCAGGTAGCCTAACCATGTGAAAAAGTCAAATAGTTCAGGCGGGGCCGAACAGGCATCCTGGCAGATAGGCAGCACCAAAGCCATCACAAAGAAGGGCAGCCAGCAGAAAATGAATGCCCCTAAAATAATCCCCAGAGTTTTCGTGGCCTTCCTCTCCCGGGCGGCGGAAATCCGTTTCCTCTCTAGGATGTTATTGGCAACTTTGATTGCGACGTGGTTGATAAACATGGATGAGCTGCTGGAATTAGAATGCCCCTCGTGAAGGTTGGAGCTAAGGGAACAAAGTGAAGAGCCCGCTGAGCCGGCAATGAGTTGGGCCGTGGTGAACCGCTTGCCGTACAGAGGTGGCGGCTTCAGAATTCGAGACCGAGCAGCCATGTAAATCCTGCCATACAAGATCAGAAGCAACACCGTTGGGATGTAGAAGGCTCCGCAGGTAGAGTAGATGGTGTAGGAGATTTCGTCTGTGTTCACTTGGCACTCGGTCAGTATTTCGTGAGCTTTGGCTTGCCTCCAGAAAAGGGGTGGCATGGAGATACAAATGGAGATAACCCAAACAATGGCAATCATTAGAGCGGCTCTACCAGCCGTCCGGCGCTTGGTATATTCCAAGGCATCCGTGATGGCCCAATACCTGTCCAAGGCGATAACACAAAGGTGCAGAATGGAGGCCGTGCAACAGGTGATGTCCGAGGACAGCCAGATGTCACACATGATCTGCCCAAAAGTCCAGATGTGGCTGACGGTGTAAGCAATACTGATTGGCATAACAAGGATAGACACTAATAGGTCTGTGGCAGCCAAGGAGCCAATGAGGTAATTTGCAGGAGTGTGGAGTTTTCTGGTAAGTATAATCGTGATGATAACAAAGACGTTGAAAAGCATTGTCGCCAGCGTGATCGCAGCCAAGACAATAGCAAGAGAAATCTTTAAGCCTAATTTCCCCTCGTCCCAATCCTCCGGCATGCGGCTGGCATTGAGAGACTTGTTGGACAAGTCCTTGAAAGCCAAGTTTGCAGACAAGTTGTACTGCGTCATGCTGGAAGTTTCTTTTAACTTGAAGCCTTTATTGAAAACCAGACTTTTTGGATGAGAATTTCAACGATCAGGAGAGAGGGCTCCGCTGTTAAACAGAAGCCAAGACAACAACAAATGCATTAACCAGTTATAACTACAGTGCATTTTGTAATACTATGACTCCTCTAGCTAATCAAGTATATTAACACTGATTATTCAACTCAGTAGTGATAAGTAATAATAATCATCATCATCATCAACATCATCATCATCTTTATTTATACCCCGCCACCACCTCCCCAAAGGGGACTCGGGGCGGCTAACATGAGGCCAAGCCCAAAAGTAATACAGCAAAGTTAGAAACAAAACAAAAAACAGAAAATTTACATCACAACATAAAATAACAGAATAAAATAAACAGTGCAAAATAACATAATAAAAAATCAAACACAAAGGGTGGGCCAAATGCACAAGCTAAAATGTTAAATGCAACTACAGTGATAACCAACTTTTGACCATGAATTGAAGGGAGTCATGACACATTTTGCTGTATTAACGGTGTGTTGTAACTCATGGAATTGATAATATTAAACAAAATAATTTATTGTCGAAAGTTTTCATGGCCAGAACCACTGGATTGCTGTGAGTTTTCTGGGTTGTATGGCCATGTTCCAGAAGGATTCTCTCCTGACGTTTCGCCCACATCTATGGCATGCATCCTCAGAGGTTGTGAGGTTTGTTGGAAACTAAGCAAGTGGGGTTTATATATCTGTGGAATGTCCAGGGTGGGAGAAATAACTCTTGTCTGCTTGTGGCAAGTGGGAATGTTCACTTGGCCAGCTTGATTAGCGTTTGATGGCCTTGTAGCATCAAAGCCTGGCTGATTGCTGCCTGGGAATCCTTTGAAAAACTCTAAAATAGGGAAAGTAACTAAAGAGCAACACTCAAAAAACAGGGGAATTCCAAGAATCAATCAGGGCCAGCTAACACATCCAAACAAAGGAGGCCCGGCCAGCAATCAGCCAGGCTTTGAAGCTGCAAGGCCATTCAATGCTAATCAAGCTGGCCAATTGCAACATTCACACTTTAATGGCCTTCCAGCATTAAAGCCTGGCTGATAGAGTTGTAAAAAACTCTAAAATCAGGACAGTAAATAAAGAGCAACACTCAAAAAGCAGGGGATTCCAGACAAGAATCAGTCAGCCTATAGAGATTAACTTTATTGCTGTGGTAACTGAGAAATATGTGCAATGATGCTTGGAACAGACCCAGATTACGATTGTGGATGGAGTGATTTTAGTAGTGATTATAATGTTTATATGTTTTAATGTGCATTTTAACCCTAATTTAAAATTTTAACTTAGATGTATTTAACTCTCTGTTGTCTAAAGGCATCAAATAGTTGCCATATGTAAAGCCACCTTGAGTCCCCTTTGGGGTAGAGAAGGTGGGATATAAATAGAGTAAGTAAGTAAATAAATAAATCAGGTCTAGCTAACACCTCTGAACAAAGGATTCCCCCAGGCAGCAATCAGCCAGGCTTTGAACCTGCAAGGCCATTCAATGCTAAGCAAGCTGGCCAATTGCAACATTCACACTTGCCTCAAGCAGACAAGAGTTCTTTCTCTCACCCTGGACATTATTCCACAGATATATAAACCTCACTTGCCTAGTTTCCAACAAACCTCACAACCTCTGAGGATGGCTGCCATAGATGTGGTTGAAATGTCAGGAGAGAATGCTACTAGAACATGGCCGTACAGTCTGGAAAACTCACAACAACCCAAAATAATTTACTATTTATTATCTGTCAATGAAACTTTTTTAAACAAAGAGTTCCCAGTAGCTTTGCTCCACTTTTTCTCCTTCTCCTATGTATACTTAGATTTCTTTTTAAGCAACATCACCATTGGGAGGATTATGAAATTGGGTTGGAGAAACATAACCATTCAGTGTCAGGTTACTGCAACATTATCTCCAGTAAAGACTACAATAAAATAAGACTGCACATTGTTTCTTGGAAATCAGAAGTTTATAGGAACTTGGTAAACTTCTCCTTCCCGTCTTCCCCTTTCTCATCTCTACCTTCCTCCTCCTCCTCCTCTCATCTTCCTCTTCCTCCTAGAATCATAGAATCCTAGAGTTGGAAGAGACCTTGTGGGCCATCCAGTCCAACCCCCTGCCGAGAAGCAGGAAAGTTGCATTCAAAACACCCCCTATAAACCCATTTATTTCATTGTACCACTCTAGGTTCTAAAACTAAACAAAAGGGAGAAACCAAGACATCTGAATTATTGACTTCTCCAAACTGACTGTATACAATCTGTAGGCGTCTCTCTTTGTTACTGTTTCTTGCTCCCTAGTGCATGTTTTTGGGTTGCTTTTTTACCTACCGTTAGAAATGGATGCGTGTCTTGGACAGCTCTGTGAATTTAACTCCTTCAATTTGTCCATAATCAGGCGGAGAAGGTGCAATTATCCTTAAATAAGAAGCAACATGACCTCAGCGAGGAGAACGGCTTGACTTCCTAACATAGCTTCTGACTGAATCTAAGGGAAGAAACAGAGTATGTGATACAGTACACCATAAAATGGACTAAAACATAAGTAAGATTTTCTTAATGCATCATTGACATTTTCCTTCTATAGGCTGTGCTTTTGTCTTATACCAATTTATTTTATTTATTTACAGTATTTATGCTCCAGCCCTTGTCACCCTGCAGGGGACTGAGGGCGGATTAGTAAAGGTAAAGGTAGTCCCCTGACATTAAATCCAGTCATGTCTGACTCTGGGGTGTGGTGCTCATCTCCATTTCTAAGCCGAAGAGCCAGCGTTGTCTGTAGACACCTCCAATGTCATGTGGCCGGCAGGACTGCATGGAGCGCCGTTACCTTCCCGCCGGAGCGGTACCTATTGATCTACTCACATTTGCATGTTTTCGAACTGCTAGGTTGGCAGAAGCTAGGGCTGACAGCAGAAGCTCACGCCGCTCCCCGGAATCGAACCTGCGACCTTTCGATCAACAACCTCAGCAGCTCAGTGCTTTAACCCACTGCGCCACCAGGGGCTCCAGGGCGGATTACAATGCACATATACATGGCAAACATGCAATGCCATTAGACATACAACATACATAGACACAGAGGCAATTTAACATTCCAGCTTTCTGGCTTCATGAGGGTATGCTCGATTCTGGCCACAGGGGGAGCTTCACCGTCTGCTTGTGACACCGAATACTTGATGGAGTACTTCCTAATTCTTTCACCTGTGCTGGGGATTTTTATAGTGTTGTAAATTAGTTAAATTAGCCTCCCCACATAAGCGGTACCTAAATTTCCTACTTGACAGATGCAACTGTCTTTCGGGCTGCAAAGGTCGACAGCAAGCTAGACAATAGTCGGGAGCTTACTCTGACCCGGGCTGGCTTTAAACTCATGACCTTTCGGTCAGTGGTGATTTAATGCAACTGACTCCTAGCCAACTGTACCACAGCCCAGTCCTTGGGGCTTTATCTTGATTTAACCAAGCTCTGCATGATGTACTTATATCACCACACATTCATATTTATTATTTATTTATTTCATATATTTATATCCCGCCCTTCTCCCCACAAGGGGGACTCAGCGCAGCCTCACATGAGCATCAGAGGATGCTAACAACATAAATACCATAAAAATTACAATTCACAATAAAATTAAAACATTGTACATCATCAGTAAAATTTAACAATAAATTAATAGATTAACGTGCCAGTAAAACCAAGCCGAGCTGGAGAATCCATATCGCAAAATCCAAATTTCCTTTTCCTATTGCCGCTGGCCTCTAATTGAATGCCTGGCCCCAGAGCCAGGTCTTCAGTTGTCTTCTAAAGGACAGGAGGGAGGTGGCCAACCTGATATCCTTAGGGAGAGAGTTCCACAGACGGGGGGCCACTGCCGAGAAGGCCCTGTCTCTTGTCCCCACCAACCACGTTTGCGAGAGTGGTGGGATCGAGAGCAGGGCCTCTCCTGATGTATTACACCAAAAAGATGCTTTGGATTAGATTTTTTTTTTTGTCGTGTCAGGAGCGACTTGAGAAACTGCAAGTCGCTTCTGGTGTGAGAGAATTGGCCGTCTGCAAGGACGTTGCCCAGGGGATGCCTGGATGATGATGTTTTTATCATCCTTGTGGGAGGCTTCTCTCATGTCCCCGCATGAGGAGCTGGAGCTGATAGAGGGAGCTCATCCGCCTCTCCCCGGATTCGAACCTGCGACCTGTTGGTCTTCAGTCCTGCCGGCACAGGGGTTTAACCCACTACGCCACTGGGGGCTCCTTTGGATTAGATGATTAGATAGAATTATCATTTATTTCAAAGGATAGTATCACCTGAATGCAGTAATGAGGATATAATACTTTTAACACTGAGTCCTTGATGGAGTACTTCCTGCTGGAAGGTTTTATGGTGTCGTAAATTAGTTAAATTAATTACCCCGCATAAAGCAGTACCTAAATTTCCTACTTGACAGATGCAACTGTCTTTTGGGCTGCATAGGTCAACAGCACGCTAGACTATTAATTGTCAGGAGCTCACCCCAACCTGGGCTGGCTTTGAACTTATGACCTCTCAGTAAGTAGTGATTTAATGTAGCTGGCTACGAACTAGCTGCGCCATAACCCATTCCCAAGCCTCATCCATTTGGGGGATTGTAATCCCCTTTATCGCCAATACTGTCAAAACTTGCCCATAGATAAAAATTCTTCCAATAAATCAAACCCTTTGCATCATAACACAACTAGAATGCACTGTAGTGCAACAGCAGGCCTAATTACAACATAACATAAAATAACGTATAAACATTAAATGAGAACCTGTGATTGCAATTTTTTTGCACAGTGGCAAATTCAACATGGCAAATTTCCATTCATTTCTAGTTTTCTTATTTTGGTTCTACTTTTTGTTTCTTATTATTTAATTTCATTCAATTTTTATTTGAATGAAATTAAATAATAGGAAGTGCATGCAAAGCCCTTAAGACTCCCTGGACCACTGGCGTAGAGCAATTGAAGTCAGCATGACTTAAGTGATCCAAGACACACCTGTCAATTTTAGTCGCTCTGCTTCCAGTATGATTAAGGCTGGATTGGATACTTACTGGGATTTGTGAGTTTGCTAAATATGCCAGTGCTTCCCAAGGTGTCTAGTGTGAGGTATCCGTTTTTCCTCCTCAATATGCCAAAAACAAGTCTGGGTCTATCTATTTAAATAAAAATATAATGTTTGTTTGTGAGATCAACATAACTCAAAAACCACTGGACGAATTGACACAAAATTTGGACACTACACCCCTAACAGACCAATAAGTGACCATCACTCATAACCCCCCCCCCCAAAAAAAAAGTGGAAAGGACTAAAACACCAAAAAGCTAAATGATGAAAAGCTAAAATATACAGAAAAAGGAGGAGGGAGGGAGGGAAGGAGAAAGAGAAAGGAGAGAAAGAAGAAGAAAGGAAGGAGAAGAGGGAAGAAGGAAAGAGAAGAAAACATGGAAGCAAAGAAAAGGAAGGAAGGAAAGAAGAGAAGAGAAAGGAGAAAGAGGAAACAAAAGGGAAGGAAAGAAAAGGAAAGGAAACGAAAGAAAGAAAAAAAGAGAAGGAAAGAGGTAGAGAAGGAAGAAAGGAGAGAAAGAGGAAGGAAAAGAAAAAGGAGGAAGGAAAGAAAGAGGTAGGGAAGGAAGGAAGGAAGACAGAAAAAAAGAAAGGAAAGAAAGAGGGAGCGAAGGAAGGAGGGAAAAAGGAAAGGAAGGAAAGAGAGAGCGAAGGAAGGAGGGAAAGAAGCATTAAAAAAGAGGGAGGGAAGGAAAGAAGGGAAGAGAGAAGGAAGGATGGAAGCAAAGAGCTAAGGAAGGAAGGAAAGTTAGAGAAGGAAAAAAGGAGAGAGAAAAGAAGGAAAATAAAAGGGGAGGAGGAAAGAAAGAGGTAGAGAAGGAAGAAAGGAGAGAAGGAAAGAAATAAGGAAAGGAAGGAAAGAAGGAGCAAAGGAAGGAGGGGAAGAAGGAGAGAAAGAGGGAGGGAAGTTTGGCCACAGCAACACGTGGTGGGTACAGCTAGTTGACTATAATTGTTTTACTGAGAATGTCTCAAGGACCAGTAGCAAACAACCCACAAACCGGCATTGATCCACGGACCACTACTTTGAATAGCACTGACAATGCCTATCAGTTGAACAGACTTTATGTGATGACACGCCCGAGCCTTTGGGAAAACTATATTGTCTGGCTTTACTCAGGGGCTATCAGATACTTTCTGTTAAGATTAAGACCCTTAGCAGACATAGACACTTTAGGCAAGGTGAAAAGATAACCAAATGAGTTTACTGAAACAAGATGAATAAAGGGTTAACTCCACCCAGGACTATCATAAGGTAACTTAAAACAATACATTCCAAAAGGAGAATTTGCTGGTTGCAGTCATCTTTCTGGAATCTTTGAAAGTCTTTTGCCTCTGGTGTAAAGCGATTATAAAGTGTTGCTTACAAACTGTCTTGATCTTCTCTCCTGTGAAGCTTAGGCTGGCCAAAAGCTTCTATTGTCCTTTGGACTGTTGTTAAACTGCTAAATGCAGGTGCTAAGAATGCCTGTTTTGATTGCTTGGGCCTAGGATACCTTTGACTGTGTGGATCATAATAAATTGTGGCAAGTTCTTGGTGGGATGGGCATACCAAGCCACCTTGTCTCTCTCCTGAGGAATCTGTACAAGGACCAAGTAGCAACAGTAAGAACTGACCACGGAACAACAGACTGGTTCAAGATTGGGAAAGGCGTACGGCAAGGCTGCATACTCTCACCCAACCTTTTTAACTTGTATGCAGAACACATCATGCGATATGCGGGGCTTGATGAATGCAAAGCTGGGGTGAAAATTGCTGGAAGAAATATTAACAACCTCAGATATGCAGATGACACCACTCTGATGGCCGAAAGCGAGGAGGAGCTGAGGAGTCAAAGCCATGGTATTCCCTGTAGTAACCTACGGATGTGAGAGCTGGACCTTAGGGAAGGCTGAGCGAAGGAAGATCGATGCTTTTGAACTGTGGTGTTGGAGGAAAGTACTGAGAGTGCCTTGGACTGCGAGAAGATCCAACCAGTCCATCCTCCAGGAAATAAAGCCCGACTGCTCACTGGAGGGAAAGATACTAGAGACAAAGTTGAAGTACTTTGGCCACATCATGAGGAGACAGCAAAGCCTAGAGAAGACAATTATGCTGGGGAAAGTGGAAGGTAAAAGGAAGAGGGGCCGACCAAGGGCAAGATGGATGGATGGCATCCTTGAAGTGACTGGACTGACCTTGAAGGATCTGGGGGTGGTGACAGCCGACAGGGAGCTCTGGCGTGGGCTGGTCCATGAGGTCACGAAGAGTCGGAGACGACTGAACGAATGAACAACAACAACAGGATACCAGACAATCTCTGTAGCTCTGCTGCAGAAAAAAGAAGGAGTACAGCAAGAGCTCTATGCAGGGAAATTGAATAGACCAACTAAGACTGGCCTCTGGGGGGAGTTTAAGCTCCACCCAAAAACTAATACAAAGGAAGGTGTCCTCACTATTGGGAAGGACTATAAACAGGGGAAACTAAAACAGAGGGGAGGAGAAGGCAGAGCCAAGAGTTCACACTTTAGCTACAACTTAGATAATAGAACACATTTTAATTGTTTGGTGCTTTCTAAATAAAGTAAATAAAACAGTAAATATAAATAACAGTATTCGCTTACCAGCAAAAAAACAACGAAGTCAAGTTAAATGTTACTATAATGCATTTGCAGTAATCCAAGCTTTCATGGATTATAGCCAATCTCATGGGATATGTGATATTATTCAGCATCTCAGGTATACCGTATATACTTGAAGATAAGTCGAGTTTTTCCAGCCCCTTTTTTTTTTAGTTGAAAAAGCTTCCCTTGGCTTATAATGGGGTCAAGGTCGGGCAGCGTAGCTTGGAGACCATAGCTTACAACATATGATATATTTCTCTCTCCTTGTCCCATCCAATTTCCTGGCTTTTTTGTGTGTATCTAAGTGTATTAACTTTATATGTGCATTTTTGTTCCCTTGGAAGTTTTCACCTCATATGGTTTCAGGTCTTTGCAAATTCTATATACATATAGCTATCTCGAGATTTCCATGTACCTGTATATCTGTATCTATACATTATTTTTATATATGAATTTTCCCCTCAGGTGTTTGCAAGTCTCTGCAAATCGTATATAGGTATAGATATTGATAAATATATAGAGGCAACTATATATCTGAACATCTCTCTCTGTATGTATCTGTGTGTGTGTGTGTGTTATTTATTTATTTATTTATTTATTTCAAACATTTTTACCCCGCCCTTCTCAACCCCTAGGGGGACTCAGGGTGGCTTCCAATTGGCAATAATTCAATGCCGCATCATAAAATACAAAAATACAAAATAGCAAATGTAACAATTAAGAACATGAACATTAATAAATAAAGATTAAACAGTATACTTACGATCCATTTAGCTATTGCCAGTCTGGTGGTTCTTTATCTAGCCATATACTAATGATTACTCCGCTTAATTTACCCAAATCCACTTCCAAGCCATAGTCAAACATTATCAATTGTCCTTTAACCTAATTGCCTGAAGGCCTGGTCCCACAACCATGTTTTTACCTTCTTTCTAAAGGTGAGGAGAGATGACGATGACCTAATTTCCCCGGCAAGCGAATTCCACAGACGGGGAGCTACCACCGAGAAGGCCCTGTCCCTCGTCCCCGCCAAAAGTGTTTGAGACAAAGGCGGAGCTGAGAGCAGGGCCTCCCCAGAAGATCTTAAGCACCGAGGTGGGATGTAGAAGGAGATACGTTCGGATGTTTGCAAGTCTCTGCAAATCATATATAGATATAGGTACCTATATATCTTTGTGTGTGTGTGTCTGTGTGTATATGTATATTTGTATATATAAATAATTTTATATATGAATTTTCCCCTCACATGTTTGCAAGTCTTTGCAAACCCTATATAGATATAATTATCTATATAGAAAGAGTAATCTAGATAGATATATAGGGCCTGAAAATATGCACACACAAATATATAGACATGTCTAGATTTGTCTATTTATTTATTTACGACATTTATAGGCCATTTACGACATTTATAGATAGATATGAATATAGATATATAGGGCTTGCAAATATTACAGGGGAAAAGCACACACAAAGATATATAGACATGTCTAGATAGATATGAATATTGATATATAGGGCTTGCAAATATTGCAGGGGAAATGAACACACACACATATACAGAGAGAGGTGTCTAGATAGATAAACATAGATATATAGGCTTTTCCCATATGCAGGAGAAATGCATATATATATATATATATATATATATATATATATATAATTCATATATATATAAAATTCATATATAGAGAGAGGATTTGCAAACGTTTCAGGGGAAATGCATATGTGAAATTAGCATATATAATTATAGCTATATATCTAGCTCTGCATTGTTTATATAGGCATTGAATGTTTGCCTGTGACTATGTTGGAAGCTGATCTGAGTCCGCATAGGGAGATAGGGTGGGATACAAATGAAGCTTTTATATTATTATTATTATTATTATTATTATTATTATTATTATTATGTTATTATTGATACCATACTGCAGGGGTCCACAAACCTTTTAAACAGAGGGCCAGGTCACAGTCCCTCAAACTGTTGGAGGGCCGGATTATAATTTGAAAAAAACATGAATGAATTCCTATGCACACTGCACATATCTTATTTGTAGTACAAAAACCACTTAAAAACAATACAATAATTAAAATGAACAATTTTAAGAAATATAAATTTATTAGTATTTCAATGGGAAGTGTGGGCCTGCTTTTGGCTGATGAGATAGGATTGCTGTTGTTGTTGTTGTGTGCTTTCAAGTCATTACAGACTTACGTTGACCCTAAGTGAGGGCCGGGTAAATGACCTTGGAGGGCCGCATTTGGCCCCTGGGCCTTAGTTTGAGGACCCCTGCCATACTGTATTTGCTTTTCCACTTACAGAACTAATTTACTGTTTTTCTTTGAAATACTGTAAATATTCAAAAACATTTAACCTACTGATGCCTTGATTAATGTAATTTTATTGATTTTTAAAATTAATAATTAATGTAATTATTTTGAAATTTAGCAGTAGCTGCTGCATTTCCCATCCTCAGCTTATAC